TTTTACAGAAAAGCCAAAAAGACAATGATAAAAGAACTAGCTATGAAAAAATATATATATAAAACTATACACAAAAATGAGGTAGGTTGCTTAAAAGTACTTTCAGGTACACTGTAGGTAATTATTTGCACTAATGATCAAAATTGCACAGGCAAAGCAAAAGAGCACAATGGAGCAATGGTGGTTGGGCTAGGCAACCTGGGTTACAAAGAAAAAGTAGAATAAAAATTCTAAAGTAATATAAACTTAATGGTAATTTAAGTAATAAAAACTTAATGGTAATTTAAGTAATAAAAACTTAATGAGAACTTAGGAATGTAAAAAATGAACTAGAATAATTAATAACAATAGATGACCAAAAAAGTCAAAAAGCAATTATGAAATCTATAAAATGAAAAGCTTGCTTACTATACTATTATAAGTACACTATAGTTGAATACTAAAGTTACACTAAAACAAAATGAAGGAGATACACTCAGGAACACTGGATAATGAAGTTAATACTAGAGGACAGAGGCAAAGCCTGTTTACTATGGAACAAGGGAGTAAAAAGAAAAAAGTTAATAATAAAGATGACAATTTTTTTTTTTTTAACTAAAGTTAAAACCTTTTGAAAGGGAAGGCAGAGCTAAAGTACACAATGGTAGTTAAATGAGATTATAATTTGAATTCTGGCTATACAGCAGTTATCCCACAGTCACTGAGGAAAGAATTAAGGTGAGCTTCAGTGGTTATTGAATAGGTTTTTCCAGTGTCAGTCCTCCTAGCTATAATTTTACCATCTCGCACAAAACAGTGTTTAATTTTAGGGGAATTTTTGCAGAAACCACGCAGTTTAAAAATGAGATTTTGCCTGAACCTGATAAACTGAACCTGGTAAACTGACGCACGATCGCCGTGCCACCATGTGCTAGGTTGGCCCATACATGTATCAACAAACTTGTTTCCCGAGGCAAAGTTCGTAACCTGATTCGAAATTTCCAAAGAAATTGGTCTTGTAACCTGAAAAGTTCATAAATAGGGACATTCGTAAGCCGAGGTGTCATTCTCCATATCCTCTCCCCCCTTCATTACTTATAAGAGAGTAGGAATGGGTGTTGTTAGCGATACTCTAGGATATGACTTTCAATCCTGTACCTTATATGGGGTATCACAGGGGGGGGTCCATTTTAGGGCCAACCATTTCTGTCATATACATCAATGACATATATGTATGTTACAAACCACATCATAAAATTTGCAGATGACACAAAGATTTATGGTAAAGTGTGAAACAAAAATGATATTGCAGCTTTACAAAGAGATCTAGAGAGACGACAAAGAGACAACGCTGTTTGTCGACCTAATTGTATTTGTGCTGCTTTTTCAGCCATGTTCCCCCCTTTTTTATCTTTACCGGGGACCACGAGCCAGAACCTTTTATAGAAACCCCCGTTGTTGGAAGCATTCTATGTCTGCCATCGACCGGGTCAAGCATCAGAAAGGTAAGCATTCCAAAACAAACCCCTACTTCAACAGAAAACACGGAAACTAGTATGACGTCATACGTCACCGCGCCGCTGTCTGCGCAGCTCCCCCCTCCCCGGGAGGGGGAAGGGGGAGCCCCAGACCTCCCACGCCGGCTTTAGTTCTTCGGCTGATTCACTGTACCTAGAGTGTGGTGTCTGTTTTCTATACTCAGTACTCGGGCTGCATTAGTATTAAGCTTTTAGTCACCGCTTGGTTTTCGGCCGCTCTTTGTGTGCTCGGGTGTTCTGTCTCCCTTGTTCGCCTTAGAGTAAGGGGCATCCTGCCCGAAACGCTTTGCGTAATAGTGGCTTTAGGCATTGTATGTACTAGCTCTATTTATAAATCGATCAATGGATTATGTCCAGCGAGTTTGAAATCTCTTGTATGTATGTACCTTACTTGAATGGCAACGTTCTCGTGGTTTCCTCCCCGGGAACATTTATTTCACCCTTCCTGCCTGCATCCGGTTCCTTACCGTCTGTAGGTTCAGGGCGGGGTGTTTGGTGGTGTTGAGACTCGGGCAGTTATTCCCCTTTTATTTAGTTATCTAGGCGGGGCTTGTGGTTACGCGGAGTGGGGTCTTTCCTCCCCACTCGCCGTACGTGCTGTTGGACGTCGGCCCCTCCCCGGGCTCGGTTCCTTGGCCTTTACATGAACTCCACTGGCAAATGCGTATGGCAGTTCCGGCCCGTCCTGGTTGTGGGGGTATGTGGGCCGGTGGACTGCTCCTAGCGGCTGCCTGGTGGGCCATCCTCTGGCCGGTCTGGCCTGACCTTGGGCCGGGCTTGAGGTGTAAAAGAGCTCCCAGTACCTCATCCAGCAGGTATCGAGCGGGGTTTCTCCGCCGTCGGTCGCCTGGTGCAGGTTTCTGGGCCTGCAGGGTTTTGTCGTGTCTCCGTTGGCCCTGTCTGGGGTCTGCCTGCTCCGTTCTCTGCCTTTGCAGAGGGGAGTTGCTATTTACATGTTGCATGTTGCAGTGGTGCCTGTTGCTGCTGCTGCTGCACGTGAGCATTGGTACCGTGTTTCACGGTGGCGTGTCCTTGTTCCTGTGTCCGGTTGTGGAGTGGCGCTTTGCTGCCGTTTTGTGCCTGGGGATTGCGTGGGGTTTTTGTCCCTGCCTGATTGTCCACCCCTGGTTGTTCTCCTGTTTTTTTTTTTTTTTTTTTTTGTGCTTCTGCTCTTTCTTCCTGCCTCTTCTGCAGCAGGAATGTTCTGCGTATGTTCTTAGGCGTTGGTCAGCCTGTGTCCTGTGATGTGCTTCTTTGTCTCGGTCTGTTGCAGTTGTTCGTGCCCCTTGGTTCGGGTCCTGTTCTGGCGGCGACCCTTCCGCCTTCTTTGGTTTTCCTAGCTTGCCCTGCCGGTTGTTGTTGTTTTATTTTTTTGGGGGGGGGGTCTTGCGATGTCTCGCGTCGGACCCGTCGTTTCTGAACTCCTGGCGGGCTTGCATGCTTCGGAGTTTTTCTGTTTTTAATATGCACCGTTAGTCAGCTGTCTTGTGCGTCATTTCAATCTTTTCTGGCGCGGGGTGGGGCTGCTGCATTCTGGAGGGGTCCAGGGTTTGTTGGTGCTTTGTTAGTCGGGCCGGGGGTGTGTCGTTTTTGTGTTCAGTGGCGGCCCTCTGCTGTTGTTTGCGTGCCACGGCGTTTGGGTCCGGAGCGCGTTTTGCGTTCCGGTTCTGTTCTTCCCGGTTCGCGGGTGATGGTGTCCCGGGTGGTCAGCCGTGTTCTTGCGGCTAAGCTGCCTGTGTTCTTCCCTCATGCCTGTGGCGTTCGTGGCTTCGCTGCTCTCGCTGCCGTCTGGGCGACGTGGCCTTGCAGTCTTTCGGGCATGGATTTTTGGTGTTCGTGCAGGGGCCTTGCTGCTCGTGGTTCTCATGTTGTTCCCGGGAAAGCGTTGAATGTAATGAAACGCCATTTTCTGGGTGAGACCCGGAGGCTCCCCGGCAACCCTCTCTCCCTCCGGTCGGCGTTTTTCGCGTGTTTTGACATCCAGCCTCAGAACTGATGGGTGGATAGCCGGCGTGGGAGGTCTGGGGCTCCCCCTTCCCCCTCCCGGGGAGGGGGGAGCTGCGCAGACAGCGGCGCGGTGACGTATGACGTCATACTAGTTTCCGTGTTTTCTGTTGAAGAGTTCTATTCACTAGTTCGGCTTAGGTAGCAATTTTCACCAGAATAGGGGTTTGTTTTGGAATGCTTACCTTTCTGGAATGCATCGGCCGGTAAAGCTCCGGGGAGCCTCCGGGTCTCACCCAGAAAATGGCGTTTCATTACATTCAACGCTGGTTTTATCTTTATTTTTATTTTTTTCTCAACACATTTTATTCTTTATACTCAATTAGTATTAAGTTTTAGTCATTAATCCTGCCCGAAACGCTTTGCGTAATAGTGGCCTTGAATAAACATTTATTTATTATTTTATTTATTTATCTACATGAACTCCACTGGCAAATGCTTTTTAATATAAAAAAAATGCAAGACCTTGCTTGTGGGGCATACCTGGAGCATACCTGGAGAGGGTTCTGGGAGTGCTTTTACTCCCAAGCCCAGCCTGAGGCCAGGCTGAACTTGTGATAACTTGGCATTGCAGCCCATGTCACAACTTCCAAATTAATAACATTACCTTGCAACAGATCTTGGTGTCAAAATTCACCATTCACTAAATGTTGCACAACAGGTAGAAGCAGCAGTAAAAAGAAGCTTACCAGCTCCCATGCCAAATCAGGCATGACGGCAGATCTCACCAAAACTTTTAAAATACATAAAAATTTGGAAGATGTTAATCTGGACACTTTCTTCAAAAGGTTAGATGTAACGCAAACAAGGAGCAATGGTTTCAAGCTTAACATGCCACAATGTAGGACTGAAAACAGGAGATGCTATTTCACCCAAAGGGTTCACCCACGGAGAAGAACATAGCTTCTCTGGAGAAAGTACAACACCAGACAACAAAAATCATTCAAAAACTAAATCAACTCTTTTACCAGGAATGGTTGAGGGCCCTCAAGGCTAACAACACTGCAAACCAGGCATGACAGGGCAGCTCTCATTGAAACTTTTAAAATACTTAACAATTTGGAGGATGTTAATCCAGACAATTTCTTCTAAAGGTTAGATGTAATGCAAACAATGAGCAGTTGTTTCAAGTTCAACAAGCCACAATGTAGGACTGATACAGGAGATGCTATTTCATCCACAGGGTTATAAACCCATGGAACTACCTATCTGCCAAAACTGTTAAATTTTAAAATCCAGCTGGAAAAAATCATCGGGGAAAATGGGAGGACCATTGACAAGCTTCTGGGTTCCTGTCCTTGTTGAGGCCATTAGTGTGTCAGTGGCACTCGGGTAAATTCAGGTAAAACTTTCACTGCATCCTTTCATTAATAATTTAGATATCATTGACATATCTATCACCATTTGACAGCTTTAGGAAGCCATAATACATGTACTGTACTAATTTAATCTTTCACAATGTGCACCTGTGCCCACTAGACAAACCTCAGTGGCTGGAGGACCGCATGGACCAGGCCTACAGCTACATGATGGGGGAAGTGAATCTAACCTGCGAGGCTGTGGCAGAACCTCAAGCTAATTTCACTTGGATCAAGGAGAATAAGATAATCACACCCTCAGACACTGTCCAGATCTTTAATGATGATCATAAAAGCACACTGCAGGTTAGTATTAACAAGGAGTTAACTAATTAGTGTATACGAAAGTTAGTACTCTGCTGTAGTTCAGGATTGAGGGACCTGTACGCATTTATTTACCAGAATTTACCTGAGTACTACCTACTCTAATGGTCTGGTCAGGGGTAGGAAGCCAGTAGCTAGTCCGAAGAACACCACCCACCCACGGAGTGGTGCTTTCTTTTTATAATTTCTTTGTATTTACAGCTTCAATGGATAGGAGATTCCATGGGTTCTTTAATTTATGAGTGAAAATGCATCTCCTGTTGTCTGTCCTAAATTGTGGCTTGTTGAACATAAAGCTGTTGCCTCTTTTGAGAGTTACATAAGACATTTAAAATTTGTTTGAATAAACAAGTCCTCTTTCAAATATGTTGGTTGTCCGAAGTGCGCGTTCTCGTGCTTCTTGGAAAGATCGTGCCAGGGCTCTGGCATCTGCTGGTTGAGGTGGGCCTTTGGTGCCAATCTCTGAGCTGGTTTCTGCTCCGGAATTGTCTTTGTCTGGTCGGCACGGTGTTCATTCTGCACGCAAGTCGGGTTCTCAAACGGTCGCCCCGTTGACAGGGGCGACAATAGGGCGGGGAGTCACAACCCCCCAATTGGGGGAGGGGGTGACTGGCTCTGTTTGCCCCGTGCTTGGTTCCATGATATGTGGGCGTTTCAGGTTGTGTCTTCCGGTCTGCGGTGGCGTTGGGCCGCTCCTTCCCCCTCTGCGGAGTTCGGGGCTGGCGGGGGCAGGTTTCTTTCCCTTCGCTTCGTCGAGTCACCCTGGAGTGGGTGCGCTTGGGCATGGTTGAAATGACCTCATCCCTCAGGTGGGTTTCCTGCCTTTTTTCAGTACCGAAACAAGACTGTGCGGTTCATTCTGGACTTGTCCCATCATGAACCCCTGGATTCCTTGCCCTCCTCCTTGTGGATGACAACTCTGTCCCAGGTCTGGCTTCTCTTGGAGCCAGGTTCTTGGATGGTGTCTCTGGATCTCCAGGACACGTATTGGCATAGTGAATGAATGGGGACTGCTTTGTTCATCTGGGGCTCGAGGACTGGTTAGATTTTGTGGCGGGGTGTCAGTTTTACCACTTTTGTTGCCTTCCTTTTGGGCTGAATCTGCCCCCTCGCATTTTCACGCATTTTACCTGGGTCAAGGTGGCCTGTTTGCATCTCATATGTGTTCGGGTTTTGGCCTACCTCTGCAATTGATTGGTCTAGGCTCCCAGCCAGTCATTGTGTCTGCTCTCCAGGGGTTTGGCTCTTTCCCAGGTTGCCGGGTTTAGGTTCCTGGTGAATCTGAGGAAGTCCCATCTGGTTCTGTCTTAGGTTCAGAATTGGCTGGGCCTTGTCTGGGATTCCCGGACAGCATCCTTGTCTCTCCCTCAGACAGCGTTTCTCAGGCTGTTGTCTCCCCATTGTCTGTTTCTGAGGGGTTCCCGGGTAACTCGGCAACTGCTCAAGCAGCAGTGGAAGTTTGAGCTTCACTGTGATCATTTACCAACTGGGTCGGGTTTGGTTGCAGCATCTGTTCTGGTTCCTTCAGGCCATCCCTTCCGCTGTGCTTGCAATTGCTGGGTTTGTCCCCCCCCAGGGGGGGGGGGGGCTTGTGTCAGCTGCTGCATCACCGGCTTCTAAGGGCTTTTCAGGGTTCGGTGCCTTGGTGCCTTCCAGAGCCCTCCCTCGATATGTTCACGAATGCCTCCTCTCTCTCGGCTGGGGTTTTGTGACCAGTGCTCATAAGGCCGGCCAGGGGCGGTGGGCTCCATCCTTCTGTTGGGCTCACAGTAAGGTGCAGGAATTTGCAGCAGTACTCACGTAAATTTGCTTGCAGAGATTGAAATTCTACTTTTTTGGTCCCGCCTCTCAAAAGTTAATCAACTGGTGTACAGATTCTTCAGCCTACTGGACTCTATCAAATCTACATTTGAAACTGTGTATGGAGTCTGCCTCCACCACATCACTGCTTAATGCATTCAATTTGTTAACTACTCTGACACTGAACAAATTCTTTCTAATGTCTCTGTGGCTCATTTGGGTACTAAGTTTTCACTTGTGTCCCCTTACTTTGCTCCTCATCTCTCTCTTGCCTATTTATTACTGATTCCCTTGTTCATGTTCCACCCATGCTAAAGAGTTTGTTTTTGTCCACTCTGTCAATTCCCCTGATAATTTTGTAGGTTATCATATCTTCCCTTATTCTTCTGTCTTCCAAGGACTTGAGGTTCAGCTCCCTTAGCCTTTCCACGTAGCTCATACCTCTCAGTTCCAGAACTAGCCTGGTGGCATACTTCTGAATCTTCTCTAACTTTGTCTTGTGTTTCACTAGGTATGGACTCCAGGCTGGAGCTGCATATTCCAGGATCGGTCTGACATAAGTTTTTATTTATTTATTTATTTATATATATACAAGAAATTACATTGGGTTTATGAGAGTACATAGCATGATGTGTTTACATTCTTGTAAAGCCACTAGTATGCACAACATTTTGGGCAGGTCCTTAATCTAACAGATAATATTAAGCAAGTAATTTGTAGCAAAATTTATAAAATGTTAACATTTTGAAATTTCATTTAACATTTCATTTAACATTTGTTAACATTTTCTTTCATTGTAAGAAAATTTGAGAGAGATTAGTAGGTATATTAAAGCACATTAAAGCACATTGAAAGCTTTGATTGAAAGCATTGATAGCTTGATTGATAATATGACAAAGATTATTAGGCACATTAAAGCACATTGATAGCACATATAAGATGACAGTAATGTTTAATGCTAAAGTTGTAAGGCTTAAGTTGTAAGGGAACACTTGATTTCATGCTAACAGAGGGGAATGTCACAATAAATTTGGCGCATCACAGTGGTTAATATAATACTGGTGAGCTGAAGACATCCACTCTATCACCACAATATCCGGCACGTGACATAGGCTGTGAGCAGACGGCGAGTACAGGTGGCAGTGATGATTTAAACCCAGAGCACACAGGAGAATGACTGGCTTCAGTGGACGCAGGGGGCTCTATTTATACCCCGCTGGTGACGTCATATCTTGTGTCAATGGCATCAGTAACAAGCGGCTGGTGGTAACTGCTAGTTAGTGGCTGCACAACAGCTATATGGAGGTGATAACTGCTAGTTAAGAGGCGGCAAACTGCTTGGTAGAGGCAGCAAACTGCTTGGTAGAGGTGGCTAACTGCTAGTTAGTGGCAGCACTCTGCCTGCCGGCGAGCCATACCAGGCACTGGGTGGTATGGGGTGGTGGAGCGTGACGGATGGAGTATCCGTCGAATGTCTGGTCTTTACTGTCATAGAGATGGACTTCCAGTGTGATGACATTGAAGGTGAGAGAAAGGGATAGTTCCACTGCTATGCAACTGATTTACATGACAATATGTATATACTTATACCTAAATAAAGAATTATTATTATTATTATTAATTATTATTATTATTTTATTATTATTATTATTAAGTGGGTTCATGTTCCAGTTCAAAAATATTTTTCTCACACACATTATTCTATCCCTAATAATTAGCTTTACTCTGCCTTTTCCTCTCATTCAGTATTTCCAATTATCCATTGGAATTCTGCTATATTAAAATTTATGTATATAACTATAACTACATATTTTATGCTCTACATTGCTTTCTCTCATTCTACATTCTCATCTTGCTATATTACCCAGTCAAGTAAATGCTCTTTGCTTTCATTTGTGCTTATCTTCACATTCACTCTTCCTAACTGGCTTATGGTACTCTGTGTTTCCTTACTGTTGATGTTTTCCTCTTTTTATTCTATATGCAATTAATTTGTCATATGCATCTTTCTAGTTAACAGTCACTGGCCCTGAGATGTTTGGAGACTACCTGTGCAAGGCAGAGAACAAACTGGGAACACTGGAACGAGCCATCATTTTAGAGAAGGGAGCGAAGCCTGCAGTGCCTACTGCAAAGGTAATACTAAATTATTTTTAAACATTTTTCCTACTATATTTCAGTTACATGGTAATAGTACTATATAGTACTATTATAGTACTATATTGAGCATTTACCATATATGTCTAAGGCTTGTGTTGTAGGGAAAAAATCTACAGTATTTATCATTGAAGTGTCTTTATAATTGCATATTTCACTTTAAATTTTTTGAGTAGTAGTACAGTATAGTCTCTTTAAGTGCTTTAAACCTGTGCAATAAGCAGGATAGAAAATACTCACAAGAATCAAATACTAAAATATTGATCAGAGTACCAAGGAAATGGACCCCTGGCAGGATCCATTTGTGCCCTCGAACAGCTGGCACTTAGCTTGAAGCAACAGGTGTTTTGCCACGTCTGAAACCATCCGAAGCAGTTCTGTCTTTCATCAGCGAAAGAACTGGCTAGCAATATGGTTGCATGCGGAAGCTGGTTCATCTGGTGGTGGTATTCAGTACTATGAGTTTTGTGCTAATTTGTAATGTTCTCATGTTCTACGTGAATCATTTGTGAATTTGTTTTCTGAACAACTTTAATGACTTTCAGGATGCTTTCCCAGTGTATTGGCAAACTGTCATTTGCTCTCTGTGCCTCTGTGACATGGGGCCAGGTTTTGACTCTGGTTCCTGGTAGGCCAAGCAGAACTCCTGCATCTGATGTGATCAATTTGCATGGAGAAATCTCAGCAAGATAGCTTCAGGGAGTTTCTATGGGGCTTCCCCAGAAAGAAGTACATTTGTGGCTGATTATTAATACACTTATTCTTAATATTGAACAAAAAATTACATATTCTTTGGAAGCAAGTCTTCCAAGCAATTTAAACTTTAAGAATTAACTGTACCCAAATTGAGAACAAAGTTATTGGGAAATTCTTTGGTGTTCACACTGGCAACTAGCTGAATTAAAAGGAAACTAAAATATTTAACTAAGCAGAACCTCTGGAGAAGATAAAAATGCACACTGAACATCATAGATTATGTGATATATGAAAGGGCATTATATTCAGCTACCCAGGAAATCTGATCAGCCAAAAAACTATGGAAGAAAACTTGTTCAAAACATAAAGAAAGATCCAAAGTTGTTCTATGCCTATATAAGAGGTAAAACCAAATCAGTAGGACCCTTAATAGATGAGACTAATTATATTATAATGGAGAATAAAAGGGCAGCAAATACTTTGAATGAATACTTTACATAAATTTTCACACTGGAAAAATTATATGGCATCCCATTATCCACACAAATATTCGAAGGTGGTGATGGTCACAAATTAAGGGATATAGCCATAATGTGGGACACAATCAGGAAAAATATTGACAAACTAAAAGACTTAAAAGCCCCAGGTGTAGATGGAATTTAATCTAAAGTCATAACAGAACTGACAGATGAACAATGCCTACCACTGAAACTCCTTTTCACAAAATCTCTGGACCAAGGAATAGTTCTAGATTTGAAATATGCAAATGTTACCTCAATTTTCAAAAACGAGAGCTCAGCAGAAAACTACTTTCCAATAAGTTTGACATCACACATCTGCAAGCTCATGAAGAAAATCCAAAGGGAGGGAATTGTTCACCATCTCACAGAGAACAATCTTGTAAAATCAACAGATAATGGGTTTGTTAATCACTTAACTGTGCCAACCGAGTTTTCTCGGTCGGCGGGAAACTGCGCCAACCGAGAAAACTCGTTTTAATATTTTGTAACCAATTCTAAATGTGTACAAGGTTGGTTGTGTACGAAATGGACTTTTAGGACCTCCAGTGAGAGGCAGCCATCTTGGAACAAAATCCCAGAATGCCCTAGGGCTGCTGGCTGGGTTAGTACTGAATGAGCAACCATGGGTGGCGCACGCGCCTCTGGCTCTCAAACACCTGTCCGATGCGGTGTTGAAGATAATGCTCTGTCGGTGAAATTCAAACCTTATTGTTTGAAGAACATAAGGGTCATAATATTGGTGAAGCTAGGCGCAATAAGGATCTAACACAAAGGTCGGATGCAAGTGATACAGCACCTATGAGGACGATACAGCGAGCGTATCCAGTTGTAGCTCTGAGCGTCACCCTTGCAATCCTATGCTATTTATTTAGATGATACAAAGATGAATCGTTTTCTGCATTAAGTGATGATGCATCTGATACAAATAGCATAGATGAACAGTGTTTGCGGCTTCCATGGTGGTGTTTTCCATAGATATTTTCAAGAATGCCTGAAGCTCTTCCCAACTGGCAGACACTCTTGACGCTAGCTGAATCTCTTCCTAACTGATTGACACTCGTGAGGTAAGCTGAATCTCTTTCTGTGTGGGACCATACAAAGCGATCTTTTCAAGACTACCTTACAAATTGATCTTTTCCTATAATCTTTTCAATACTACCTTATGCTTTACAAGCTAGGTTACATACAACCTACAAGTTCTAAAGCCAAGGGTGTACGTGAGTGCGTTAGCACACAGAATGAAGAAGCAGGAAGCGAAAATTTATCTGTACTTGGTGCACTGAGAGCGAAGTCGCGCTGTGTACCATGGGCTACTTCATTGATTATTACTCACTTCCAAAGTACTGAGTGTGTAATACAGTGTGTTACTGTGTAAATAGTGTGTGAAATAACATATTGTAATTTTAGTGAATTTTTAACAGGTAATATTGCGACAATAAACATTTATTGTGGACACATTACTGACACATGTATCACAGTTCCATGGAGCATTATGAACGTTAAATGTATAATATTGTAAGGACTAAGTATGCAGCATATATGATAAAAAAAAACAAATAAAACCGCATTGGAAATACATAAAACAAATAATTGAAAATATATTTGTGGCAACACCCGGTGCTTGAATGGCCCGCGCGACCGTGTCTGGGCGAGTCCAGGCCCTGATGACACCACAGCGACAGGCGACCAGGCCCTGATGACATCACAGCGCACTTTGTCCATGCCCCTACAGCCAAAGTAAGTGGAATTTGGTACATATTTTTTACATAGACATGTTCAGGGAAGGGAATTTATCATTTTACGAAGAAAAAAGAATTTTTGGGGAACACTTCATTTCATGCGCACTGGGGGAATTTCTCAAATAATATATATATATATATATATATATATATATATATATATATATATATGTATATATATATATATATATATATATATATATATAATATATGTGTGTGTACGGAAAATCCACGTAGAAATGTGAAAGAGAGATGAACGTTTCGGCTGATCTGGGCCTTTGTCAACACCTGACAACACAGTCAGGTGTTGACAAAGGCCCAGATCGGCCAAAACTTTTATCTCTCTTTCCCATTTCTCTGTGGATTTTCCGCATACAAATGATCAGTGTTTAGTGATCGTCAATTGCATATATATATATATATATATATATATATATATATATATATATATATATATATATATACATACATATATATATATATATATATATATATATATATATATATATATATATATATATATATATATATATATATATATATATATATATATGTCGTACCTAATAGCCAGAACGCACTTCTCAGCCTACTATGCAAGGCCCAATTTGCCTAATAAGCCAAGTTTTCATGAATTAATTGTTTTTCGACTACCTAACCTACCTAACCTAACCTAACTTTTTCGGCTACTTAACGAAACCTAACCTATAAAGATAGGTTAGGTTAGGTTAGGTAGGGTTGGTTAGGTTCAGTCATATATCTACGTTAATTATAACTCAAATAAAAAAAAATTGACCTCATACATAATGAAATGGATAGCTTTATCATTTCATAAGAAAAAAAATAGAGAAAATATATTAATTTAGGAAAACTTGGCTTATTAGGCAAATCGGGCCTTATATATATATATATATATATATATATATATATATATATATAACAGAGCACCACTTGGTTTCCGAACTTTAGTTATCCGAAACTTCCAGTTTCCCTATAGGGGTTGGGAGTCATGCTTCCCGAACAAAGTTCTGGTAGGAAGGGGTCCGCCAAGCGTCACGCCGGCCTGTGGTGGTAGGTGGGATATGGTCCAGTTTGCCCACTGTGATTTCACAGATTCTCGGCCTATTATTTCTATTATTTTGAATTGTCATAAGGCTGGAATGTTCATTCTGTGCTTTTGTTTTACATATCTGCACAATCAAGAAATATCTGTGCACCATGTCGGCTCCAAATGCACGCACTGCGTCAGTGTTACCTGACCGGTGGGTGGGTGGATGGGGGAGCTTAGGTGGGAGGCAATATGAGCGAGAGAGGGGGAGAATCAGTGAGAGAGGGGGAGAATTAGTCAGAAAGGGAGGGAGGGGAGGTAGGGAGAGATGCTAGGAGGTAGGCAGGAAGGCATTGGTTGACAATAGAAGGGTAAGGTAAGTTACAGGGAATTTATTAGGTATAGCTTCGCTTTTAACTTAAACTGGTTGAGAGAGGTACAGTCTTTAACATGGTTGGGAAGGTCATTCCACAATCTGGGTCCCTTGATTTGTAGAGCATTTCTAGTTTGATTAAGTCGTACTCTAGGAATATCAAAACTGTATTTATTTCTGGTGTGATGCTCATGGGTTCTGATACAACCTTCTATGAAGCTTTTGAGATCAGGATTGGCATTATAGTTTAGCGTTTTATATATGTATAATACACATGAGAGAATGTGCAGTGACTTAATGTCTAACATATTCAGAGATTTAAGTAGGGGTACCGAGTGGTGTCTGGGGCCAGAATTGGATATTGTCCTAATAGCAGCTTTGTGTTGAGTAATTAGAGGACGTAAGTGATTTTGGGTAGTAGAGCCCCAAGCACAAATACCATAGTTGAGATATGGATAGATAAGGGAGTAATAGAGAGTCACCAGGGCAGGGCGTGGTACATAATATCTGATCTTAGAAAGAATGCCCACAGTTTTTGAAACTTTTTTTGATATGTTTAGAATGTGTCCCTGGAAATTAAGCTTGTGGTCAATGAGAATGCCAAG